ACATTAAAGAGCTACTTTTTCAGTCTCTGATCAATGTGAACTATATATTTAAAAAGTGTAGATCATTTGGTAAATGACAAACACTGAAAATCCAGAGAAAGACTGTATCTATTAGCACTTAAACTAAAATTCTATGTTAGAACTAAACAACAGCAGAAATCACACTAGTGCAAAGATGTATCAGGTCTTAATTGTTTTAAACTCAAGCAAAACTAATAAACTGACTTTGATGGGAGTTTTGCCTGAGTAACAACTGCCAGATTAGGCTGTCAGTGATAAAAAGGTCTGTTCTTTGATCATAGGTTTCAGAGGAACAGCCGTGTTAGTCTGTATTCGCAAAAAGAAAAGGAGTACTTGTGGCACCTTGGTTAGTCTCTAAGGTGCCACAAGTACTCCTTTTCTTTCTTTGATCATAAGGACACAAGCTATTTTCACTCTCTCTTCAAATGAATACAGACGAGATGAAGAGATAGGATTTTACACTATTTATTAAGTTTACACTTTCATTGTGTATAAAACTTGTTTTACCTAGAATTTCTGTAAGACACCCTGTAAATTGTAAGAGCAGCTTTTTCTAATGTAGTTTAAACCATCTTCAAATGGGTTTTGCTCCCATTCTCTTGGCTAACATAGCAAAATACCTTCCATTTGAAACAGGCCTAATATAAAAAAAGGCCTAGCTTGGCTACATGTGCACATACATGGCTTCTATTAACTTCGAAGGGAACTTGACCAATAATATGCCACAGAAGTTTTATGCATAATTTAGAATTTAATAAAATGAAATCAATTTGTAAAGGGGTACTTACACACCACTGAAAACTCAAATAGAGCTCATTGATACACACAGAAATTTAGCTGGTTATTTATTGCCTATATTCCCTTTCCAATATATCAGACATTTAGCCCTAGAAAAGAACTTGTGTGTTTAAGACCCAGCCTTCTACTGTCTCTGCTGAAGTCATCATCCAGAGTTAGTGACATCACAGTCTGCTGCCATGAAAGTGAATGTTGAAGTCATATCCTACATTCTGACTTCAATGCAGACTAACGCTGGACAGGAACAAAGAGGGGTAAAAAGCAAGTTCCTGTGCAAGCACATCTTTGTAATAATTATGTGTGGGAACAAGGAGAAAATCCTAAAAAAAAAAAAATCAAGTGAAAGGGTGAATGGATTTATATTTTAAGCCTGCTTTATTTAAAAGTTTTTCCTTGCATGAAAGTTCTTAATGGTAAACTGCAAAAGGGAAAGGAAACGTGTGTGTGTTCTCTACTTCTCCTTATCCTTACCTTAACTTTAGGGCTTGTCTACATAGGGAAATTCAATGGCAAAACTACACCTGTATAATTATACCAAGAGAGTTACACTGGTATAACTTTCCCTGTGGACACTCTTCTTCTGAAATAAGAGCAGCTTTTTCTAGTATAGTTTAAACCATCTTCAAAACAACCTTAACCAAACTGGAAAAAGTCACTTTTATTCCAAAATAAGAGTCTCCATATGGGGAGTTATATAAGTGTGCATTCACACCTTTCCTTATACCAGAATAGCTTCCTGCCTAAACAGCCCTTAAACACACCGGCTGAAATTCTGGCCCCAGGAAGTCTGTGAGAGTTTTGTCATTGACTTCACGGGGTCAGGATTTCACCCACTATCTCTTCCTCCTCCGAAGAGAGGCAGATGAGTTGCAGTTTCGGTTCCACGCTACTGAGTTACCATCAATGCAGCCCTCCCAAAATGACTAAGGTAATCCTCCAAAAATAAACAAAAAGAACTCCTTTATTTTGGAAAAAAAAATATTATGAGGCCATTATAAACTGTAATGTCCATAAAACAATTAGATTTGCTCTGGCCGTTCACCTTTAAGGGGAACAGAAACATTATATTACCGTCTGTGTAAGAAGAACCAAATTTGGCCTTCACACAAATAGCATTAAAATCCCACTGACCTCAAAGGCAATGGAGACACATATCACAGGGCATAATTTGGCCCTTGCTGTGGCATTTTGCTCCTGGCTGTTGACTCCCTTATGCTAGAAAGTGGAATGCTTTAAAATTAACAGGAAAGGTTGGACAGTGTAACAAATACATTGGGAAAGAATGTTTAGGGCCATATACCAGCCTTCAATCTTGCACAAGACCCACACTAACATCACTAGAGGCTTTATATCGGGGTGGGCAAACTACGGCCTGGAGGCCACATCCGGTCCGGCCCTTCAGACATTTTAATCCGGCCCTTGAGCTCCCGCCGGGGAGCAAGGTCGGGGGCTTGCCCCACTCCAGCGCTCCAGGTCCGCACATGCCATGGCTCCACACAGCTCCCGGAAGCGGCGGCATGTACCCGCTGCGGCTCCTATGAGTATGGGCAGCCAGGGGCTCTGCACGGTGCCCCTACCCCAAGCGCAGCCCCCGCAGTTCCCATTGGCTGGGAACCATGGCCAATGGGAGCTGCATGGGCAGCGCCTGCAGATGGGGCAGCGTGCAGAGCCTCCTGGCTGTGGCTCCGCATAGGAGCCGGAGAAGGGACATGCTGCTCCTTCTGGGAGCTGCTTGAGGTAAGCGCTGCCTGGAGCCTGTACCTCTGACCCCCTCCCACGCCTCAACCCCCTGCCCCAGTCCTGATCCCCCTCCCGCCCTCCAAATCCCTTGGTCCCAGCCCAGAGCACTCTTCTACACCCCCCACAACTCATCATCCCCAGCCCCACCCCCGAGCCCGTGCCCCCAGCTGGAGCCTTCATCCTCTCCCCCACACACTCCAACCACCTACCCCAGCTTGGAGCTCCCTCCCGCACTCTGAACTCCACATTATTGGCCCCACCCCAGAGCACGCACCCCCAGCCGAAGCCCTCACCTGCTCCCACACCCCAACCCCCTAATTTTGTGAGCATTCATGGCCCGTGATACAATTTCTATACCCAGATGTGGCCCTCATACCAAAAAGTTTGCCCACCCCTGCTTTATATGGATTATCGCTTAAAATACCACCTCATATCCATGCTGATATTTTAATTTCATTATTAATATAGTGATATATATCAGGAACATGAACCAACTCCCACTGACTTTCACAGGAAAAAGTGCGTGGAATTATGCCGAGGATTTATTTGGTCCATCATCTTACTACCTGTACAGATACCAAAAGAGATGTTTGTATAGTGATTGTATCTTAATCAACAGCTACAATAGACTTTATTTACACACACCATATCAATTGCCTGCATTGCTACAAATATGCTAGAAATAACATAATTCCTTCAAAGAAATCAAATTAGCAATGAGATCACTGAGACTACTGTCCACTACTATCCTCCTATAGTACTAAATTCCCTTAACCAAACTGACTTTATGAGAATAAACTAAGTGAGCCTCCAGAGAGTGCAAAGTATTGGACTTTTCATATCTAAGCTTATTATTCCTAATATCACAGAGAAACTTCCCTGAACTGTCCTTCTCCTTCCCAAATTCCCCATCTGAGCAGATGTCTCTCTTTTTCTTGCATTTACCTGTCAATCATGTTCACAGCTGAAATTTGATTTCTCTCCCAACAGTAACCTTAGATGAAATATTACCATAGGGGTCAGTCCAATCTCAACCTGGCCATAAAAGTTCATTAACTCTTCCTAGACTCAATATATATTTGTTTCAAAGTAACGGGATCTGTTTTTTCAACAATGCCTAACAGGACAACAAAAAAATATACAAGTAAATGAAATTATTGTGTCTATTTTCCAGGCCAGGGTACATCGTACCTATAAAGTCCTGTTATTACAATTATACATTAAATTAAAGGCTTTTTAAAAACATGTCCATAGATAACTGAACAAAATTAGCAATGATTGCTCTCAGATTATTTAAAATAAAGAACTCTTGTTAGCAATGAGCTGATAGACAATACACTGAACAGTGTACACTGAACAGTGAAAACAAGTATCTTGACTATGTTTAAAATTCCTGTTCAAGCCTATTCAATAGATGCAACATAATATGCTCTGCAAGGACCCATAATAAAACTAGGGGTCTGATTTTCTTCTCGCTTACAACACTATAAATCAGTTGTAATTTTACTGATATCAATGAGATTACACCCGTCACTAACTCAGGTAAACTGAGAAGAGAATCAGGTCACAAAATGTGTCTCTTATGAAGTTCTCCCCTGGCCCAATCCTGCAGCCTATACCCAAGCAAAACTCCTGCAAATATCAATGGGAGTTTGACTCACGTGAATTCTACAGGATTAACCCCCCTTCCCCACACAGCCAAATTTTAAATAAAAATAAAACTCAGTTGCACGAGCTAATAAAAATGAACAGTGTTTTGTTTAATAACACCTCTTAATTGTTGATATAAGTGTCGTAGGCTGTATTCTTGTCTAAAATATGAGATTTCATAATTAAACTCACACAGGGATCTCTGTAATTGAAAATCCCATTTAAACTGCTTAGTGTTTTTTTACAGTTGAGCCTGATAATAAACAGATCTCATGGACCATATGTCTGCCTGAATCTACGAGGTGTGTGTGTGTGTGTGTGTGTGTGTATATAAAAGTTTGATCTTCTCATTTTCCTAAATATTGTATATTCTGTAAATGGGATAGACTGAATAGATGTGATTTGGGAGAGGAAGACAGCATTATGCTTCTCATTCAATTGGACATTCTGGGCATGTACATAAAATAATACAGACATCTATCATTTTCATCCAGATTTGAGACAGATCTTCTGCAGTCTCATACTTAACCACCATAGCTCGTTTCTGAATGCCAGGATTTGAAGACAAAAAAAGAAGATGTTCGCAAGGAATAAAATATAGATTATGCTACATAGGAGACATGCTTGGTAAACAAAAGTAGAAAACATTCACATTGCCCAGGTCACTTTTACACACCTGAATATGAGCCCAATCTAACGTCCATCGGTTATTAAGTAAGCTCCATATTAACAGTCAAACAAAACAAAACAAAAACTCTTACTCAAGTATGCAAATGAAAATCAAAATGTACCTTTTTTTTTTTTTTTAACTTCAGGCAACAGGCATTTTCACATCACCGATGTAGAAGATTCTCTTGGGTACCTAATTTAGTAAATATATTAAAATAAACAAAACATAATTAATAAAGAAATTTAAAACACTCTAAAATATGTCACTTTTACTGATATTGTACAGAGCAGAACTGTTCTGATTGAATGCTAATTTAATTTCAGAAAGTCTTCTGTATTATTTATTAACGGTATTCTAGTGCTGATGAACTTAATGGAACACTGTGTAAAATGAAACAATTTTTAAATAGCATGCCTGGCCTTTATTCGCATTAATAACACGAGGATCTTAGTGATAGCACTATTATCTTAGTAAAACAAAAATACAATTTTTGTCTTGACAGTGAATATCAAACTACAATAGTTGAAAGCATTTAGCTTCCTATAGTTTTCTTAAATAATTTTTTTTATTATTATTAGCTGTGCTAATGTAACTGGCAAAATAATTACCAATTTCTGTACATAGTCCATTATTTTCCAGACAGCAGTTTAATAACAAAACCAGAGCTGTCATTTCTCCCTACGGTTACTCACACTATACAAGTTCAGACTGTCAAAATATATTTAAAATCTAATTTTAAAAGATTCAACACAGTTACAATGAATCTTTGTACAATAAGTGAGATAAACCAGTGAGTCAATCTATGCTCTTTAAATATGGGTATTTTGTTATGTTTGTTACATCTAACTTTCTCCATTGGACTATATATACACTATGTATACTTATACAGAATAAGTATTCTGCGGGAAGTATAGCTGCAGCTACATCAATGTATTGTCATAGCATAACATAAACATAGCAAGAAAAAATTGCATATCTGATTTAAGATTGAAAAAAAAAGCAAGACTATCTATGGGTTTATCTGGCATTTTGATTGCAAAATAGCTCTGCAGCTTTAAAAAAAAATCATCTGTACAATTTGTGCCAACTAAATTATTATTCCACAATGTAAAGATCACTTTCAGCATCAAACTGAATAGAATGGCGTATTTAAATATTTTCAAGCATGCCACTTAAAACAATGTTTCCTTGTAGTGGGAAATTTTACATTAGATCATGTTTATTCAGAAATGTTTCAATCAGATCATGTAAATGCCCACATATATGTTCATAGCAAAGCATTGTGGCTGATGAAGGCTTTTCAAGACAGCTCCTTTGCCTCCCTAACAATCTTGTTGATCCTGTCTGTTATTTTTGGAGAAAAGGGACAGTGTCTCATTATATGTATTATTTGGCATCCTGCCCAGGATCTCTTAAAGCAGATCACTTTTTAGACCTTTGGTGTAATTTTCCTCAAGATGACTTCTGCTCTCATGCCAATTGATGAATCCATCCTGTTATTAATGCATTTAGTTGGGAGGAATAAGTATTCAATTCTCACACCTGAAGACCATCCAAAAAAGTGTTGTGGTCAGCCTGCTCTATTATCTTTAGTCTTTGATGAGGCTATCCCTTATCTAGAACCACAATAGTTCAATCAATTCAAAGGAGACCTGAAACAGAGTGGACACATCTCTCACAGGCACAGTGCACAGAATCATTTAACAGGTTTATTTGAAGATCAGGTATTAATAAAAAGAGTTTCCAAGAAATGTAGCACTGAAACAGCCTGGAGAGGCTAAGCAGATTTATTAATTTAACACGGCTGATAACACTTCTTTTTCTTCTTCTTTTAATTTGACAAAGTTGGTTCAGGAGAGTTATCATTTAATAAATTTGCTCCTCTATAATGCGGTCTGTTAAAAAGGATTTTACAATAAAGGCTGCTGAAAGACTGTGCTCAGTTTAGAGACGGAATGTGGTGTGGCATGAATATACAATTTTAAGCAGATTTAATCTTATATTATTCCTGTCTCCAAAGTGACTCTGCAGTAGGTCTCTTGTCAAAAGTGAAGTCTGTTTGTTCATCCTATATTGCAAAACAGTGAAATGTATTGCAAACTCTGGCCTGGCTTCTTATGTATTACAGTACTTTCATCAGTGAATTAGGAAGCAGTTGGGGGTGGGGGACGGGCAGGGAAAGGAACTGGATCTTTTTTGTTTCAGGGTTACTTACCTTTCAGCACTGCCAATGTTTCATTGCAAGGGCCTCAAATGTTTGAGAAACCTGGGACTCTTTTTAGAGAATACCACAACTTTAGGAGCTGATACCCACACACAAAACCCACTCTTTAAAGTTACTGTAGTTTCCAAGATCTTTTAAATTTCTACTTTTAAAAATCAGTGAAAGGGAAGGTTCTGGTCCAGGTAGGTTAATCAGCCTGTGTTAAAATGGAGCATTAAACTCTATCTCCGAGAGAGACAGAGAGAAAATCAGCTGGATTTGGAAAACTGCTCTTCTCCCAACTGCAAATGATTTACAAAGCATGCAGCCCAAACCTCCCCCACCCCCATCTCCCCCAGCCACCAAGGCTCTGATCCCAAACCTAACTGAAAGACTCCCATTGACTTCACTGGGCTTTGGATTAGGTTTAAGTGAGCCCAGGTTATCAGACAGAAAAGGCAAAAGGGGCCGAATCCAAATAAAATCCCAGCACCGCTGGCTCCAGGAACGTACCTAAGGGATGATCAGTCAGCGGAAGGCCGCCTGCACGACACACCGGCGCTAAGCTTTGGACGGATGGATGGATCCTTCAGGAATTGAATTTAGACAGCACACAAAAGCAGCGGCCTCCCTCCCCTCCGGCCCGCTGCAGTAACACAGCCAGGCTGGGCCGCCCGAGAGCCCCCTTGGCTGTGGTTGGGGAGGTGTGAGCCGCCTGGCCTGTTTGCTGGCACAAGCCCCTGCTGGGGTGAGCCCGGCTGCCCAGACACAGACCCCCCGCCCCCCAGTTCCTGGGGCAGCGCTGAGAGGTACCAGCCCAGGGGCCCCCTTCCTTGGCTAGGCTCATGGTGGCCATGGGGGTCCCCCTGCCCCAACGCTTCTGGTCTGGGTCGCCTCCTTGGCAGGTAGCCCCTTGGCTCCCCCGCTGGGAAAGGGGGGGGGGGCTGGCCCCTGCCCATTTGCCTCCTAGGGGGCACTTCGCGTTAACGCCCCCGGCTGGGCCAGGGCTCGTCCCCACGAAGTTGTGGGCAAACCCCCGGCAGAACGGAGCCGCTTCCCCGCCCCTCGGACTCGAAGCGGCTTTTTACAGGGGCGAACACGTGCCGGGAACCGCAGCCGCGCTGGGCCCGTCCTCGGGCGCTCGGGGAGGGTCGGGGCTAGCGGCCAGCCCCGGGCCCTTGCCCCTGCGCGGGGCCACCTGCTCTCCGCCCCGCGCCTGCCCCAGCGCTGGGCTAGGAGGGCGGAACGGCTCGGTTCGGCTCGGCTTGGCTGGTCCAAGCGATGCGCCGCGGTGGCTCTGTGTTCCTGGGAAGGGACACAGGCTGCCCTCGGCGGGGGAAGGCGCCCGGGTCGGCGCCCTTTGGGCAGGCCATGGGGGGGGGGGCTGACAGACGCCGTCCGTAGTCCCTTGAAATGCCTTGGCCCCGTCCATGGGAACTCCCCCCACGTCCCCTATTTGAGTTGAGTGGGAGCAGGATCGGGCCTTTAATGGTCACGTTTCTGTCTCGCCTGAGCCCTGACAGTACCCGGGGGAAATACACAAATGCTGGTTCCTCCCTCAGCCCGGTGTCCCGAGGGAATGACCTCTCCTGATCGGAAACGGAGACGCAGACCGGAACACATTTACACAGCCGATCTCGCCACGCGGGTTCTCATTTACATAATAAAGTGGAAGGGAAAGGACCGAAACAGGAGACATCCACTTATAACCCGCGTGGTCTCAGACGTAGTTTCTTAATCGCCCTGCCCTTCGCTTCAGTACCCCACATTGCAGCCTCAGCGGTACAGGGGACAGTGTTTGGGATTTGCGGGTTCATGTCAACAGGATGCTATTTAAGCGGATTCAGAGCAGGTATTTCATTTCCAGGAACATTCCGAGTCATAACACAACTATTGATACGCATCAACCCGCCGGCCGATGGTTACACTGAAAACCCAACGTCAGGAACGCCCAATATACTTTGGAAGCAAAGAGTTTATGCGGGAGAAATGTGGGGAGGGGTTATTTGAGTGCTAGAGATTTTCTTGGGGAGGGGGAGTTTATTCTTTTTGTTTGGGGAGTTTCATGTCTTTATTTTGAATAACCCCCCAGCCTGGATTTAAGAAGCCAAAAGGGAACAAACATCTTTGCCATTCTGCAGCTGGCTGGGGTGTGACTGTAGATCCAAATTCTGGCGAGTTCAAGCCTGGGAAATGAATGTGTATTGCTGGTCTGCCTGACAAAACCGAGGCTTCAAGGACGCTTGTTTGACACTGAAAACCGAGGCAGGAGGGAGCGGAACAGTTGGCCAGATCACGCATTGAAATAGGGTGTTGAGCCCCCTTACGCCTCCATACACAACCATTAACATTTTGTTTTAAAGGGGGAGAGCTGCAGAGAACATTTTTCGGGACTGTACTTCCTAATAAATTAACAATTGAGAGGCCATCAGTGACACTTCACCCTCTCACCCCGCTGGAAACTTTAGACACTGCTTGATTTGTCTCTTGCTCTATGCCTGTGGAAACAAGGCTTCTAGCAAACTTCTGCTCTGTCTTCTATTCCTTCCATGAACGATGTCTGGTGGATATGTATTTAAAAGGAAAACACGTCAAAGTATACAGTACTTAAAATCAAGCGCTTATGCAGGCAGGGCAATCTCCATCCGAAAACTCACTCTGCCAAAACTACAGGCCTAAAGTATTTTACTGCAGTGTAAGAAATTGCACTGTTTTAGAGTTGACGACCAGAAAGGGCACAGCACGCTGGAAACTCATAATTTCGGTGAGTAATCCGCGATCAATTAACAAGCAGCCCTCAAGCACACCGCCAAATTATAGATTCAGATCAAGGTGATGGTGACTATAGTAGGAGTTTAACTGATTAGCTGTAACTATCAACACACCCATCTACCCCTGCCTGTGTTACTTAGCGCTGGCATTGATCGCTTTCATCTTGGAATATTTTGCATTGCTCTGGTCTTGAACTCACAAATCTGAGTGCAGTCCC